ACAAAGAAACAGAGCGAGTCAGAAGGGGTCTCCTGGGCCATCTAGTCTGACCTCCGGCACCAGCCGGCTCTGCTCACGACATGCCCACCATGTGCACGTCCAGCCTATCCTTGCACCGATGGGGCCTCAACGACCTCCCGGGGAAGCCCATTCCACACCCTCGGGGTCCTGACTGTCAGGAAGTGCTTCCTGGCATCTAAATTGAACCTTGGCTCCCTGAGCTTGGCTCCGTTGGAGCGCCTCCTGCCTTCCTCTGCAGGGGAGAACAGGTCTCTACCCATCTGGCTGACTACCGGTCACCGGGTCTGTGCATCTGAGCTGGGCTTTCCGGCTGCTTCAGCTTCAGATGCGAATCTGCACTAGAACGGAAGTGAATTTCCATTAGAATTTGGCTTTATCCAAATTCAGCATCTGAATTTGACATTTCAGGCTTTACACCTGAGGTTTGAATGTGGAATTTTAGCTCACTTAAATAAAGAAGCCATTTTTCAAAAAACAGCTTTGAATTTTGCTTTGCTCTGTGGATCAGTCAAAAGTGAAATCTTGTAAGTGACCAGCAGCCAGATGTTGTCAAATGTCTGGATATTTGCTGCACTTTGCTGTTTACATTATGGATAAAATCCAGTCAAAGCCCACCATGTGCCAACTATCCAGTCCCGCAATAAAATACACATATTCAGCGAAATTTTATCACCACTAGAAATGGTCAGCTAATCCCATGAGCCTGATCAAATTTGCTGGGAGAATTTCTCTGAAAATAAAGTCAGGTCCACCCACTGTGCACTGCGGGCTGCGAGGATCACTGCCGTGCCCCCTGCCCCTCCCTGGGGCAGCCGTGGGGCTCGGCACCCCGTTCCCCTTTGCCGTATCCCTTGTGATTCGAAAGGGTGAGGTGCGCAGCCGAGACACCGCTTGTGGGTCTTGTCGCCCCAGGGCCGTGCTGCCTCGTGCTGGGGCTCGAGCACACCCTGAATCCCCTCCGCCTGTTCCAAGCCGCGTCCTCCTCACTCCGCTTTTCTAGGACGGCTGGGGCTGCCCTGACCCAGCACGCGGCTGGATCTCTTGGAGGCGATGAGGAAGGCGGAACACCCAGGAGGGCCTTGGGCCAGGAGGCTGCTGGGCGTCTTGGCGTGCTTCTGCCTCTGGGAGACGCTGGCACTGGATGATGGGTAAGGAACGAGCGCGCCCCGCATGGCCCAGCAGGGCAGGCGGCACCGGCTCTCCAGCAATCGCTAGGACGGGATTCCTCCTGAGCCAGAAGGACGAAGCGGCCCCGTTACGGATGGTGCTCCCCATCGCCCTGCTCTGAAAGGGCCGTGCCCCTTCTGAGCAATGTCCCGTGAGATGACTGCACAGGCGGCCGCGCGGAGGGGCTGCGGGGGGGCCCGGGGGGGGGGGTGAACAGTTCCTGGCGCATCCCTGCAGTTGGGGCCAAGAGTGTGGGGCCGGGGCCGAGGCAGACGGCTGGCAGGTCCTGCATGAAGCCGCTTCCAGTATTCCTGGGTAACGGCGCCCATCAGCCTCCCCGGCCCGGAAGGAGGAGCTGCTGGGGGAGGGGGTAGGAACAGCCAGGCCCGGACCGGGAGGGCTTGCAGGGGGCTGACCCTCAGCGCCCCTCGGAAGACGCGTCCCCTCTTTTCCTGCCCCAAAGGGGCTCTCTGCGCAGGAGAACAGGAGAGGCTGCAAGGGGGAAAGGGCCGGACCCCCCGAGCAGGGGCTGAGAGGGCGGCTGCGTTGCCTCCGCAGGCGCTGGTGCGAGCGGACCGTGCAGGTGACGCGGGCGGAGGTGGTGACCCCGCGGCAGGAGGAGGCTGTGCCCTGCTCCCACCTCTACCAGTACAGCATGGCGGGCTGGCTGCTCGACCCGGACAGGACGCGCCGGGCCTCCGGCCAGGCGGAGCAGCTGTGCTTCATCTACAAGTGAGCCGGGCCATGGGGCCGCCAGGCGAGGGCAGATCCCGGAGGCCGGCTGCGGACGGAGGGGCCGGGGGCCCTGTGCCTCCTGCGATGCTCCCTCAAAGGGGCGGGCCAAAGGTGCCTCGGCTGAGGCACAAGCGGGCGCCCGGTGCAGCAGGCACGTGCGGAGGTGGGAGGGGGCGCTTTCCCATGGCAGCCAGGCGCCCCCCCCATGTCGCTAGGCCCCCAGCAGCTGGGTGCTCCCATCGCCCACACGTGGACCCCGCCGATCCCAGGAGCTGGGGCGAAATGGGCTGCCGGTTGAGGGGCCACTCGCCCCGGCCTGTGGGGACAGCTCCCCTGGCGAGGCATGCGTTCTCCATCGAACCGTTCTGACCCCACCCCCCTGTCTCCCGCAGGCCCGGAGGCACCAGGCCCGTGGTGTGGAACCGCACCGAGCGCGCGTGCTGCGAGGGCTGGAGCGGGCCCCACTGCTCGGAAGGTAGGGCCCACCCCAGGCAGGGCAGCAGGGCTCCGCCAGAGTCCCAAGGCCCGTCCGGCTCTGCAGACTCCGAGCTAACGGGGGGGGGGGGGGCGCTCTGGGGGCACGTGGCGGCCTTCCCCAAGTCGGCCCCTCCAGGGGCAGCTGCTGCGGGTTCCTGCGCCCTCACCGGGCCTTTGTGCCAGGGACGCCCGGCCCCCCGCGCTGACGGCGCGTCCCCCTTCTCTCCCCCTCGGCCGCGTCCCCAGGGCCACCGCTGGGCCGCTGCTTCTCCAGCCAGCACTGCGAGGACCTGCCCGGCCTGCGGAACCTGTCGCTGCTTGGCATGGAGGAATGCTGCGGCCGCCCGGGGGGGCACAGCTGGCAGAATGCGTCCTCCCGGCTCTGCTTCAGCTGCGCCTCCCGGCTCCTGAGAGGTGTGCCCCCCCTGCACCTGGCCGGCCCCTTCTGTCCCCCCCACACCCTCCAGGAGCAGAGTTGCCCAGAGAGGCAGCAGCCACCGCAGTCTCACGGGCGGGGTGAAACCGAAGTGCACAGCCCAGGGCAGCGTGGGGAATGCGACCCGCGGCCCCCCGTGGCCCCCCAAGGCCTCGGCTGCTCCACGACCGCCACTGTTTCCCTGCCCCCAATCCAATTTCCCACCCATTGCACCGGCCTCTGCTGCCTCCCCAGGAGGGGAGTATCAGGTTCCCCGAGATGCACGCGCGTGCATACATGGCCCCAATCCTCGAGCCAGCGTCAGGTGGAGCTTTTCGGGGTCAGGGAGCGCCTGAGCACATCTGCCGCCCAGCTGCGGCGGCCAGCCAAAACGTTGCCCCCCCCCCGCACCTCGCAGCTCCATCCCCCCCAGGCTGGGGCCTCCCAGATGCAGGCGCTGGGGCCTGCTGGGCACCCCTCCCGTCACCCCGCCTCTCCACTCTGGCCTTTCCCCACTTGGCGCCCCCCTGCAGTGCCTGACTACAAATCCCATCATCTGCAGCCAGCAGAGGCCGGCTGTGTTGCTCCTGGGCACAGCCACCTAACCGCCCCGTGCCTTGAGAACAGCACAGCCCCGACCTCCTCGGTCCGGTCCGATCCCGGCAGGAGCGCGCCTCCCGGCCGCCCGCCTCGGCGGACTCGGCCCCGACGGCCCCGGGAAGGGCGCCCGCCAACCGCCGTGCTCTCCGTCCGCAGATGACCTGCCCGCGCCCTTCCTGCTCCGGGCGCCCGCGCCCACGGCGCTGCTCCTCCGCGCCGCGCCACGCCCGCGCCCCTTCGCCACCTGCGCGGCCTGGGCCGCCTTCCACTACCGCACCTTCGACGGCCGGCACTTCCGCTTCCACGGGCGCTGCGCCTACGTCCTGGCCGCCGCCGCGGACGGCACCTGGGCCGTGCACCTCTCCCCGGACGGCCCGCGCTGCGAGCCCGGCCACTGCCCGCGGGTAAGAGCGGCCAGGCCGGCGGCGCCCCCGCGGGGGAGGCCCGAGAGCCGGCGGGGCCCGGGCGGCTCGGAGGGGCGGGAGCAGGGCCGGGCGGGGCGCCCCGCTTCCCTTTGGGCCGGGCCCGCGGGCGGGGCGGGACGCGGCGCCCTGACGCCCGCCCTGCCCTGCCCTGCCCTGCCCGCAGGCGCTGCGCATGCTGCTCGGCCTCGACCTGGTCACGGCGCGGGGGCGCAACGTCTCCGTGAACGGCGCGGCGGTGCCG